CCATACAGCCCTAGGTTTCACCCCCAACAGTAAAAAAAAAAAAAAAGCCAGGTGTAGTGGTTCATGCCTTTGGGGGTACAGGGAGGACAGACACAGACAAATCTCTCTGAGCTTGAGGCCAGCCTGTCTACATAGTGAGTTCCAGGCCAGCCAGGGCTAGAGTGAGACCCTGACTCAAAATTAAAAAAAGGCCTGTGTTCACTTCAATTATACATATCCTAAAATGGTCGATACAGATTATTATTAGCACGGCCTCTGCGCTAGGATGACAAGCAAATTTGTAAAGTATTCCAGAATGAAAAAACAGAAACAAGTCATAACTCCACAACATAAAAGGCCTTACAGAAACTACTGCATAATAGCAAGAAAGATTTTCCTCTGCCCTAAGAGAAGAAAGTCATCCAAGCCTCCAGGGTGTGAGGCAAGAGCCCAGGAAGCAGGAGACAAGAGCCCAAGGCAATAGACCATACACATACACACACACACAAAGGCAGCAGTTAGCACCAGCTAACCCCAAAGCAGCCGCCTTAGCCTGGAGCAAGACTGCCTCCACTGGGAGCTCAGGTGCAGACCAGCTTCCCAGTCCTGAGCACATAGGGAGGCCTCCAGGCCCCACACCTCAAGGTCCCAAGCACAGCGGTCATTCAAACATCACCACCCCACATATTCACACTCTCAGCAGCCAAGCAGTGCCAAACCCAAACACAGAAGGCAGGGGGATGCCATGCATTAAAGGGTAAAACTGGGGAACCGGGCATCGAGGCAAACACCTGTGATTCCCCCAGTACTCAGAAGGTGGAGGCAGCCTCAGCTACAGACCAAGTTCCATCAGCTTGAGCTGTAAGAGCCCCCCCAAAATGAGGTTGGGCCGGGCGTGGTGGTGCACTGGAGACGTGGTGGCCTTTAATTACAGCACTGGGGACGCAGAGGTAGGCAGATTTCCATGAGTTCAAAGCCAGCCTGGTCTATATAGTGAATTCCAGGCTAGCTCGGGCTACCGGGAGACTGTCTCAAAAACAAAAAGAAAAAAAGATGTTTTAAGCTGGGCGCGGTGGTGCACTGGGGAGGCAGAGGCAGGCGAATCTCTCGAGTTTAAGGCCAGCCTGGCCTACATAGTGAGTTCCAGGACAGCTGGAGCTACAGGGATACCACCTCAAAATAAAATTTAAAAAAAAAAAAAGGATGTTTTAAAGCAAAACTTGGGCCGAGTGTGGTGGCACATGACTTCAACTCCAGCATTCAGGATGCAGAGGCAAGCGAATCTCTGTGATCATGAGTTCCAGGCCAGCCTGGTCTACATAGCGAGTTCAAGACCAGTCTTGTCTCAAAAAGGCATAACTTGGACGAGAAAAAGTGGAGGTGCTAGAGGAATTTTTTTTTTTCACTTCTCACCCAGTCCTCTGGGGGCTAGCCCCCGCGAGATGGATTATTTTCACAGCCTCTAGGCTAAAGTCTTCCTTCCGGTCATTGTGTTTATTTCCATCCCCTCCCAATACCATCCGCCGCCCGCCCCCCAAAAAAGGACAGGCCCCGCGGGACAGGAGAGCGGGCAGCCCGGGGACAAAGCCCACGACTGGTCTCCACCTGGGATCCGGGCTAAGCGCCCGGCCCGGGAGGGCGGGCGCTGGCTGCCGAGTCGGGTAGCTCCCGCCCCCCTGCGGGGGCCCCCGCCGCAGTTACCAGGCAGCAAGGCCCCGCCCCCGCTGTGCCAGCTGGCCAATCGCGCGCGGTCTCCAGCCCGAAGCGCTGGAGCCCCAGATACACACACTAGAAGCCCGAGCGCGACCCCACGGGGTTCAGGAGGGGGCCTTGGCACCGCGCGCGCGCCCCCGGGAAAGCCGAGTCAGCCAATCAGAGCGAAGGAGGAGATTGCGCGGCCCCGCGAGGCTCAATCCTTCGCTCGTCCACGCGCGGGAGTGGGGGGGTGGGGGGTAGTGCTGGTCGCGCGGGACGATCGCTCCCCACCCCCGCCCCTCAGACCACCACGCATATACATACATACATACACACATATATATATATATACATATATATATAAATATACGCACGCGCACGAGGCCGCGCGCCCCTCCCCCAGCGCCGCGGCCGCGCGCTGGTGCAACTGTCGCTCCCCCCTCGACCGCCCCATCCCCCCTCAAAGCCTCGACGCGCCCGCAGCCAAGGCCCCCAAGTCTGGTGGTCTGCGGGGGGGGGTCACCGCGCGTCCGTTTCCTCACCCCAAAGTCACCCCTTGTCACTCACAACGCGCAACTCCCACACCCGAGTCCGTGCACCAGGCTTCTACAGTGTCGAATAAAGACGCTTCAGTTCCCCATGGCACCCCGAAGCTGAGGGGACACTGCGGGAGAGGCTGTCCTGGGGCGACACTGAGGGAGGGGGCGTCCTGAGGGGACAGGGACTCACCCGAAGTGCAGCCCGGGAGGGCCTGGGGGGGGGATGCAGACGGCAAGCGGGTGTAGGCCGGAGCCTCGGCTGAGGCGAGCTGGCGAGCGGGGCGGAGGTGAGAGGGCGAGGGGGCCCCGTGCGTCTCGGCCGCGCTCCTGTCACCGCCGCATGGCCGCCCCCACCGGGGCCTCGCTCCTCGCTCGGATCACCTCACGCTGGTGGGGGGGGAAAGAGGGACGAAGCCCAGGGGTAACCGCGGCAGGCGGGCAGCAAGCGCGTGCAGGGAAGCGGGGGGGGCGCCGATGCCCCCTTTTCTCTGCTCTCCGAGCTTCTCTCTCACCCTCCTCCTCCTCCTTTTTTTTTTCTTTTTTTTCTTTTTTTTTTTTTTGCTTCGCTTTTTTTGTTCCTCGAAGGCGCAGCTACGCATGCGCACAGGCAACACTGCCCCCTGGGAGTTGTAGTTCTAGATGGGGGCCCCACCAACGCAATGTGTGCGAGCTGTGGACTACAACTCCCAGAGAGCCCTGCGCGACGAGGGCAGCTTCTCTCCCCACCACCCTCCCCGCTTTAGGACGAGGCGCTTCGTCGAGGCGCCCGGCCCTCTCCAGCGAAGACTGTCAATGGAGGCGTGCGGGTGGTGGGAGCGAGAACATGGCTGCACCTGGGGCCTGCGGGGCCGCTGGAGTGGGGGAGGGGATGGGAGGGTTAAGGCTGGGAGATCTGAATCGTCAGTGGTCCCCGTGTACTCCCTGCCGGGCTCCCGCTACTGGCCACTACTTCCACTTAAATAACTTGGCTACCTACCTTCCTCTGCAAATTGGAAAGCTGGGGATCTTGCAAAGGCCGGGGAAGCTCCGGGCCGCGCTATCTCCTGCTCTGCAGAGGGACGTCCCCTTCACCCTGCACCCCCAGCTCTGGGACACAAAGAACTCATGTTTTCAAAGCTGTCCTTCAGAAAGCTACCAGAAGTGAACTTGCCCTAACTTGAGACAGGCGACGAATTGGGGGGCGGGGGTGGGGGGGGGGACAACACATGATTTTCAACCTCTCTCCAGTTTTTTGCTCGTCTCTGAATATTTAGAAGGAAAGTTGGAAAAACACTGATTGTTCCAAAAGATCGGTGACTTTCGAGACTATAACATTTTACTGTTCAACTAAATTAAACTGAAAAGTTAAAATATATAAATACTGCATCTGAAAATTTTATATGTTCGTGCAAAGCACTAAATTGAGTGACTTTGTGATTGTTTCTTTTTTCTGCCCATCCCCAACGCCAGCCATCACCCAAGATTCGGGCGCCACCCCCACCCCCTCTTCCATCTCGGTAGGTGGCGGCCACAAGGCTTTTTCCAGCCTCTCAGTCTCTTTGTCGCTCCCTGGAAAACTTTGCGTGCAAGCCAGTCTTTTGATCTAGTTCCAAAACCCTGCCTTTGAATACGGGTTCAAGGATTGGCGTTCCCTGGTCGACTTTCTTGCATGAAACCGCACCCACAAGCCTCATCTAGAATCTCCATGTTGGATTTTTCTGCACTCCACGGAAGATTTAAAGATCCCCGGGAAGCAATCTGATTACAGAAGCCGCCTACGATTTTTACGATTCCCCCAACCTCCCAACAATCAGTTACACCCAACGCTTCTTTGCCTAAACCGATTGTGACTCAACTTTGTCAACTCTGTCCAGAGCCATTCATTAAGATGTAAAAAGGGCAACTTTCTCTTTTACACTATTTCACTGATAATTGGAATATTTAAACTCCATTTTCCCAAAACAGAGGAGTCCCTCTCCTTAGCAGGGGATGTGTTCCAAGGTCCATTTGTGAAAACAGTAAATGCTACCAAAGTCGTATACTGGTTTTTTTCCCCTATAAATTCTTAATGATAAAGTTCTGCAGGGCGTGGTGATACACACTTTAAATCCCAGTATCAGGAGGCAGAGGCAAGAAGATGGACTCAAATTTGAGGTCACCTTGCTCTAAGACCCAAATTCCAAGTCACTCAGGCTTAACATATATAGTAAGACACTCTCAAAATAGCAACGAACAAACAAAACATAGTTATCAGTTAGTTCCTTTTTAAATTAGACACAGTAAGAGATTTTAAAAAATAGTGAGACCCTGTCTCAAACAACAAAACTAATAATAAAATTTAACATTTAGGGCTAGGGAAGTAGCTCAGTTAATAGAGTGCTTGCCTAGCATGCACAAATCCCTGGATTCCATCTCCAGCATGGCATAAACCTGGCATGGTGGCACGCATCTGTAGTCCCAGTGTTAGAACTGTAGAGGCAGGAGGATCAGTTCAGTCCCACTCTCTGCTACAGAGAGTTCAAGGCCAGCCTGGGATACATGAGACTCTGACTCAAAAAAAAAGAAACAAACAAGGGGATGGAGAGATGGCTCAACAGTTAAGAACACTGGTTGTTCTTGTAGAAGACCCAGGTTTGAATCCTAGCACCCACATGGCAGCTAACAACTGTAACTCCAGTTCCAGGGGATCCGACAGCCTCTTCTGTCATCTGTGGCCATTGCACAGCACGGGTGCACTTACCTACATGCAGGCAACACACGCAAACACATAAAAAATAAATATAATAAATAAGATTTTAAAAAAAGAAAGAAAATTGAGCATTTGTAACAATACACTGTCATAACATTTATGTTAGTGTCGCTCAAAGTACTAAGCATACTGTCCACACCCTTTTGCCTGCTTTCATGACAAGAGAAAACTGGCTTTGGGTAGTATAACATCCTTATTCCTCAGCCAACTTTTTCTACCGTGCTGCAAATGTAGAACAAATGGGGCCTTTCTAGTAACTTGTATTTTCCAGTCCAAACCTGTTTCTGTATAACCATCCCATTCTGTATGGTTCTGAATGGTTTTCTCTCCTGGTTATCAATTGCCTTTGTTTGTTGCCTTTGTTTTATTTTGTTATTTGAGACAGGTCTCATTCCGTAGCCCAAGCTGGCTCCAAGATCCTTCTGCCTCAGCCTTCCGAGTGCTGGAATTACAGGTGTGTATCACCATGTCAGGTCTGAAGTTTTCATACAAACTAAGCTTCCTGACATGTCACAATTGCCCACAGTCTGAACAGTTTGTATTTGTGTCTTTCACCCACGAAACCAAAGCCCTTTCCATTTTCATTACACAGCTCGACTAGAATTTTTGCATTCCAAAGCAAAGTATAGATTTCTTTTTCCTTCTTTACAATTTCATGACTAGAAAATTCTTTACTGTAAATTTTGACAACTTCAGCCTAGGAATTCTGGTCTTTAGCAGTACTAGAGATTGACCCCAGGGATGGCCTCCTGCGTGCTAGGCAATGTAGGCTACCACTGAACTATATATCCTAAGCACTTTATTTATTGTTCTTTGACACAGGGTGTCACTAAATGGCCCACACTGGCTTCAAACTCACTTTGGTATCCCAGGAAGACCTTGAATCTTCCATCTTCTTGCCCCAGTCTCCCTAGTAGCTGCGATTACAGGTATGTGTGTATCATGGCTGGCTTTATGAACTCAAAATTTCACTTAAACTATAGTGGCACATGCCTTGATGCCAGTACTCAGGAAGTTGAGGCAAGCAGATCTCTGTGGGATCAAGGCCAGCCTTGTCTACATAGAAAGTTCCAGGCCAGCTGGGGCTACATAGTGAGACCCTTTCTCAAAAGAAGGAAAAGACTTTCTAGCATCTCTAACATATCCAAATTGCCAGCATCAGCTAGGCATGGTGGCACATGTCTGTAATCCAAGCACTTGAGAGGTAGAGAGAGGAGGACCAGAAGTTCAAGGTCATCCTCAGCTATATACCAAGTTTGAGGTCAGCCTGGGCTGCACCTGTCTCAAAAAAACAAAACCAATAAAAATTGCCAGCATTAATCAGTCAGGCACAGGGGCACATACTTGTGAATCTCAATACTAGAAAGACTGAGACTGGAGGGTTGCAGTGTGTTCCAGGCCAGCATAATAAGGGAGTGACTGCTCAGTGGACAGAGCAATTGCCATGCAAGCATGGGGATTGGGCTTTCAGTCTCTAGAACTCACGTAAATGCTGGTTGGGTGTGGCAGCTGGAGGATAGAGATGGATGATCCCTGAGCAAACTGCTTAGCTAAACAAGTCATATTGGCAAGCTCCGGGTTCAACTAAAAGACCCTGCCTTAATGAATAAGGTGGAAAACAATGGAGGAAGACTCTTGTCATCACCTCTGGCCTCCAGGTGCACATGCACACATACGTTAGCCCACACATTTGGACATGTATATACATATGTTTCCTCACGTGTGTGCACACACATACGTGCAAAATAACCAATTGCCAGAGTCAGTATTCTCCCTACCATTTATCTTTGCCAAGAGGATGCTTAGTAAAGCATCTTTACTCAAACTGAAGGCAATTTTCTAGGAAAATAAGCATTCCTTGAATGCGGCCACCCACAAAGCGTGATGGAAACATAAGATCTGATAACAGAGACAGTTACTGTATGACCAGAGGGCAGGTGTCACACACAGGCTGGATGCCCTGGACACAGCAATGAATCATATCTGGGGCAGATCCAAGCCCTGAAGATTTCATCAAGCTACTTAGAACCAAGAAAGGCTTTTGTTTTTGTTTTTGTTTTTTGAACAAGGTCTCACTGTGTAGCTCCGGCTGGCCTGGAACTTGCTATGTACAGGCTGTCCTCAAACTCAGAGACCTGCCTGCCTGTGCCTCCCAAGTACTGGGATTAAAGGCACCCACAACTAGGCTCTGCTCTTTGGTTTTTTATTTGAGACAGGGTTTCCTGTAACCCAGGTTGGCTTCCAACTGCCTATGTAGCCCAGGATGAACTTGAACTCCTGATCCTCCACCTTCTGGAGTTAAAGGCAAGTACTACCACAGTGTGAGATCTACTCCAGCCTGGTCTACATAGCAAGTTTCAGGCCAGCTGGGACTACATAGAAACCTGTTTCAAAAAAAATATGAACAGTATCCAGGAAGAAGGAGAAATATTTAGGAAAAGCATGTTTGCTTTTTGTTTTTTATTTGTTTGGGGCTTTTAAAAAATGTTTATTTTCCATTGTTGCTGTTGTTGTTGTTGTTGTTGTTGTTGTTCTGAGGCAGGGTCTCCCTATGAAGCCCTGGCTGGCCTTGAACTCACTATGTAGACCAGGCTGGCCCCAAACTTACAGAGCTCCACCTGCCTCTGCCTCCCAAGTTCTGGGACTAAAGGCATAGGCCACCACACCTGACTTAACCTTTATTTATTCCCTGTGTGTGTACATGTATGTGCTACTGAAGTTGTATAGAGATCAGAGGACAGCTTTTGGGAGTCAGTTCCCTTCTATCATATGGGTTCCAGGGATGGAACTCAAGTTGTCAGGCTTGGTGCAAGCACTGAGCCATCTCACCAGCCTCCAAGTTTT